TTTTTTTTTTTTTTTTTTTTTTTTTTTTTACCCATCTCTGATTTCTCACATCTTAATTTCCTCATTTTTTTATTTAATACTAACTTCTTAACTTGATTTTTGTTTTCCCCCCCACTTTTTCTTTTCATTCTTTCCTCATTCCACTTACCCTGGGAAGACCAACCTCATTCAGGAATCACAGTACTGTGTTGGTTATTAGACTCTGAGGATATTGCCTGCTGTCTTGTGACAGGGGTAACCTCTTGTAGCTCTGACCTATGTCATGTAGCTGGGAGCAGGAAATCAAGATGAGCCTCTTACCAGCACTCCTGTGTTTCACACTTATTAACCTGTGTTGGAAGAAAATGTAACCTCTGGCAAGAAATTAAACCGAAATCTCTGAGTCTCGGAAGGAATGATGAAGGCATTTGCAGTGTGTCTAAGCTTTCTTGGAATTGGGTACTACTGCAGAGAAATTAAAGATAGTGAAACTTTCCATTTGGCTATATTGTGGCAGCTTCATAAGGTATAGATAGAAGAACATATTTATAAACGGGGGTAAGCTGCACTGGTTTAGCTTCCTATTGTGAGATAAGAGCAGACCCATCAGATAGTTGATGCAAAACCACCAATATGTGGCAAGTCTCCTACCACCCTTCACTTATGTAATTTCTCTGTATGTTCCAATAAGCTTTAGAGAGACTCGGTACATCCTGTGGGTGGGAAGATGGTGACTGCCAGGCAGTTTCTTGCACTTTCAGGAATACTGCAACTTGCTTAAAAATATTACTTGGGGAGAAGATGTGTTTTTTCTGACAAATTAGCCGCCATGTAAAAGCATAGGCTGCTCTCCTGAATCTGTATAACGAAGCCAAGTTAGACCCAACTGAGCAGGTGGACTAGCTGGAGTCCAGATTTAGTTCTGTAACTAGTGTTTGCAGGATTATTGCAGAAAATAGGCTTCATCTTGCAGTGTCCAATGTAAAATATTTGTAGTATAAAATATGGTTAGTACTATTATAAACTTGGTTTTTGAAATGGAACTATTAACAAGCAGCAAAAGAGCACAAGTGCATTTGATATAGAAATTCACTCTAAAGCATACAGGGAAAATGCACGAATAAAGCATATGGCAGGGACCAGATTTGTTTGCAATGCATGTGGAGGAGCAATACAACACAAATATACACGTACGCCAGAGCTGCAGGGTCATATGTGCAACTGCTTTGCAGAAGTTAGGTGTTCTTGGCACAACTTAAAAAACAAAAATAACACAACCCACACAGGAGAAAAAATATACTGTTAGAAGATGGATCTCATGATTCTCACAGAAGTTTAGGGCTGGAAGGGACCTCGTGAGATCATCAGGTGCAACCCCCCTCCTCTAGGCAGGAAAGACTGCACTGGTCAAATAATGATCATGAAAATAATGATGATGATAATGGACGTCATTATTGTCAAATACTGGTGATGAAAGTGGAGTAAAATGCCTAGGTCTCTTGTGATGTAGTTGCAGCCATTGTTTTTACAAAAGACTAGTGCCTACTCAGCTTGTTTCACATGGCCAGCACAAATGTGAACACCTGAGATGAGGCCAAAATGTTTGATCTGTAGAAGATCACCTACCCCGCATTCATGTTTTCAATCAGTGTAACACCATTGGTGAGAGCAATTTTATAGTCAGCGTAGGGTGGATCCACACAAGGCAGCAGTGGGACTGAGTTCAGAGCTCAAGGGAGGGAAGACGGTAGGTTAGGTGATGTTTTTGAAGGCACACCTTTATTTTCTAAAGGGAATCTAGAAGAGTGCAACTTTTTAAAAAGGTGGAGGATGGGAAGAGGGAGGATAGTAGCCAGGGCTGTTGGACGCTCAAGGTGAGTTGGTGGGATGAGAAGTAGAAAGCAAAGGCACCCTTGCTGCTGATGTGGTAGTGAACATGAAGGCAATAGACTGAAGTGTCTAGGAGCTGAAACCAGCTGTTGAGTGGACTGCATCAGATTAATTTAGTTTATATTGGTTCAGGCTTTGGTGAAATGGGTGGTTGTGCCATGTACATTGTGAAATCACCTTCATTTGAACTGGCACCAATCCTCTGTGGTATTGACAATCTCAGAGGGCAGGGTTAGGATGGTCATGGGAGCTGGAGTCCTTCTCTCTTGTAAAAAAGGCATTTCTCCAAGCTGGAGCAGACATTCATTGATGAGGCCGACCGGAATCCTTGTTGCCAAAATTTCCAGGCAACAGTAGCAGATATTTCTCATGTAACCTACAGCACTACTGATCATTGTTTTCCTGCTGTGCCATTGCCTGGAAGATAAATCTGGCTATCATCACTGTGGTCCCAGGAGTAGCTCAAAGACATCTCTTCTTTGATGCATAACAGCTTAGTCACTGCCCTGCCCCCATATTTCGCTTTACTTGGCAACAGTAAAACCCTCTGGTTTACAAGGCGATTTATTTTCTAATCTACTTAGCCTCCTACAGCACATTCCAGCCACATGTCTTCACTCTCTTTTCCCTGGCAAATCTGCCTTGTCTCTTGCCCAGCATTTGGGGTTTCCATGTGTTACTAGAGGCTCTTCTTTGAACCAACTTCTTCCTTAGGCAATCGGGATAGCACTACTGGTCTTCCAGTGTCTTTTTAATATATTCAGGAGAGGTGCCTCCAATTCAATTCCTGATGCTTGCTAAAACTAAGTTAAATATGAAGAGGACTCATTTTAACGTGCAAAAGACTGGTTTCGGATTTGCTTGTGCACTGGAGCCCAAGTTTGGAGCTTGGATTTTGGCAAGTGAAGGCCTTTCCCTTGATACAGAAGAGAGGTTAATACATTTTGAACGTTCCAGGGGAGTATTTATTGCTTGGAGCAGGGGTAGGCAGCTCCTGGCATGGGTGGCAGAGCATGGCATGCAAAGGCATTTGGCTGGGTATGCACACCTTGGGCAGGGAAGCTGCTGGGACTGCTCCCACAACAAGGATTGGGCCCCTTGCCGCTCTCCTGCCATCCGCCCCTGGCACGCCAAGATCTTACAAGTCAAGGTTGTGGGTGTTTCTGGCACCCTACCCAAAAAAGGTGCTGACCCCTGGTGTACAGGATCAGGCTTTTTGGCTGTCTATACATGTGCTTGGGGGGAGGCATTTTAACTGGAGTGGTTCCCAGAGAGTCACTCCAGTTAAAACAGCTCACCATTGCAGCCCCACCACATTTCAAAATGGCCATGGGACACTAACTAAAGCTAATTTGACAAGCTTTAGTTGAAGCGCCCACAGCCATTTTGAAACGTGGGGTGGGGCTTAATCTACATGACACCCGAGGCAATGCCAGACGGTTCTAATTAGAATGAGGAGAAGCCTCGGTTAATTGAATCTGCTTGTTCTGAGTCTAATTAGAATGTGAATGAGCACATCTCTGGGCAGTCTTTAATTTTAACCTTCCTGTCTAGCTCTGCTAAAGAGAGGCTGTGAGCAGGGCTTACTTCCAGCACTGGGAGTGTATTTATTAAGTGGAAGTGGAGAGATGTGTTTAATAAAGGCTGCGCAGAGCTGTTCTGATCATTTTATTTGAGGGGAAGTGGTGGTTGGGAATGCTGTTTCAAATGTTAAGCATTTCAATGAATGTTGGACCAAAAACCTGAAACTACTTCTAGTTCATTGTGCTACCTCTTGTCATGCTGCTACTTCTAGAATTAGGACCTGAAAGATTAATTTGACTAATATGGATAAATGGTGAGATGTTCACCATCTTCATTTTCTTTTTGCCCAGGGTGCGGTGTGTGTAAGAGAATGATGCCAGCTTACCAACAGGCAGCCACAGACCTGAAGAGTAAATATGTAAGTGAGAAGATGGCATGAGGCATATGTTAAATTCATTTGTTTTATCTTTTTCGAGGATGTAATGCTGTCGAGATTAATCAAATGGGGAATTTTAACTGATACTAGGTTCAAGGAGAAATATTTGAAGCCAACTCCAGCAAAAAAGGGACCATCTCCACTCGTTTTACTTGATTCTAGTAATGTATTTTCTCTCATAAGACAAGCCCTGGGGTAAAATATAGACTTTTGTTTTTTGAAAGGCAGAATGAAAAGCAAGAGATCTTTCCTTTATGGTAAGTAACTGAGTGGCAGCAGCTAGGGAAGGAGCTGAATTGTGTTAGTTCCCTGAAGATTTAATTTCACTTTTACTTAGTAAGGCAGAACTGCTCTTACCATATTTCTCGCACATAATGCCCACGACAATTTCCAGCAGCTGTTTTTTGGAGGCAGAGTGGTTGTTTCATTAAAGAAAATATGATATTTTTGGAGCCTGAAGGGTAGACACACCACCTAAATCCAGAGTGGCTCTCTCTAGAACAGGCTGTGTATCTGATTCTGCAAATGCTTATAAGCATAAGCTCTGAGCATGTAAGTAGTCCTGTGAGCACAGAAAGGGTTTTGCAAAATTGGGATCTAACACTTTTTTTTTTTTAACCTGGAAACCTATCTGAGAGTGTGGCTAAAAGTGTCTTTGTAAAGCATTCATTTAAATTCTTACTGTTTACCTAGTTTTATACACTATGCTTGGAGGAGAAAATGGAATTTGTCTCTACCTCAGTAAGGAGGCTGATTCTTAACTGGAAAGCACAGGAATTGATAGAGCTCTTTGTTTTATCTTGGCTGTTTTAATATTCCAAACAATGTATAATAAAGTTTTACATAAGTTTTAAAGAACTGGTCATGGTAATATCCTACAGAAGCGCATTTCATGGAACAATCATGTGTTGTGTGTGCAAGGCATAGCATTGATAATTTTCAAATAAGACATAGGCACCCCCTGGTTCAAGACTTTAAAATATGTATTTTATAAATAAATTCAGAGCACATATAAGGCAAAAGGAAAACCAGTGCTGGAGACTTGGGCATGTTGTAGCTTAAGCAGTGTTTTGCTTTCAGCCTGACTGCTTACCATTCACTTTGTCACAGTTTGCTGGCTTTACTCGAGAGAGGCTGTGTGTGGCAAAGCAAATGATGAATACTGAGGTTCACTGGCAGGGCAGCTCCAGTCACTACATCTCGAGAGCATTTGAAATCATCAGGCTCTCACATGCCCACAAATAGCTGTTAAACTTGGTAAAAGTTTGTTTGCCTAGGACTAATTCAAAGGGAACATGCATTTATTTAGAGAACAGTATGGCTCTTTAAATATCTTTTAAGAGCATTCTGGTTGGATGAAACATCATTAAAATCCCACCTGTCCTGTCATTGGAATTTACACTAAGTTCCTCTTCAAGATGTTCCTGTCTTGGGACTGGTAAGTTTTAAGGCTCCGTGACTATAAATTTACAGGAATTGGAAGCATAAAAAGAGCTAGACATCTTGCACTGTGCAGAATGCACTCTGTTCCTGTAACTTTCCTTTTGCCTTGGCTGCAAACAATCTTCTTTTTCCATGGAGTTGTGACTTAGGCACAACGATAACTTCTCCAGCCTTTCTGCCAGATCTGATAGTTTCCTTCCATATTTCTACCTACTGAGATGTGAATGCTGGGGTCCTTGTCCTACCTGGAGCTTTGAAGCATAGGTCTGTACTTGTGCAAATTGTTACTAAGGTCATTGGGGCTTCACCTTAGGGTAAGGTGGTTAGTCTACAGGCAGTTGGTTCAGACAAACATCCTACCTAACATGTCAGCTGTGGGGGAAGGGGGGTGCTGTTTCCCCACAAGCTCAGTCCTTTTGGTCTAAATCCAAGTCCAGCTGTCCATGGATTAATGCTTCTCTACTAACAACTCTTTTTCCATCTGTACAGTTCACTGTGTCTAAAGCAAAGTAAGTTCTTTATTATACTGTACTATTTCCCAGCGAGGTTCTTTAAAGTAGTAACGATCTCCAAATCAGAGATTTCCACATAATTTATGACTGGCGTGGATGAGCTCTGAGGGTTTGGCCTTTTTAACCCAAGCAGTCATTACCTGCCAGGAAATGCCAGGCTTGGAGGCCATTATTCCTATTACAAAGTTAGAAAATAAAATAAAGTAACTGCCTCTTTAATAGGTTGTAAAAATGAAAAGGTGAACTGTACCTGACATTGGTTACTGTATTCTGCCATTGGGATTGGTCTTTTCCTGTTAGTGCTATAACCAAGAAGAATGCTGGATGATATTTTCAGTGTTACGCTGGGTTTACACTTTGCATTAAATCACAAACCAGTTCATAGTGAAGTAACCTTGGAGATGGAAGCTTCCAGCTATCCTACCAGTGGGGTTAATTTCTGCTGATAACCTTGAATTCCTGTAACCAGTGCACTCTGTTCTCAATTTGGGAAAGTATCCTTAGTCAGCAAAGGACTTAAGCATACACTTAACCCATCTGGAAGTCAAATGAGACTTAAGTGCTTTGTTGAATAAGCATGAGCCAAAATCTATCCTTTCTTGAATTGGGGTTGTCTTACTTCAGAACAAGTAAAATGTACATGCCATGCAGTCCTAATATTTCAGCCATGTTGGGTAAAAGGAAGGAATTGTTTAATATTAGTTTGTTTTTTAGTTGGGGTATAATGCATATTGAAATTCTGAGTCTGTGGAAATGTGTTTTATTATACTCTGCATATTGTGTGCAGATTTAGATGTAGATATAGGTAGGAAACATTTAGATGTAGATAGGAAACAATTTTGGAGTATCTGTATTAAAATGAGCTTGTTGTTATAAGAAAATAGTTACTTATATTACATTTGAAAAATGTCTTTCTGATGACAACAAAGACAGGGAAAAATGTCCTCATTCATTCTGATGACTGATACTAATAAGTCACTGGAGGGGAAATCATGTGTTAGTTATTCTGAGAGACCTTTCTTAGAGACCCCTGTTAGCAAACTGATTGTGTGCTATTTAATTGCATGAAATCAGCAAATATCAAAGAAGTGTTTTAAAATAGTGTGCGACACTCTGCCTGGAAGCCTTGATTTCACCTGTCTCTTGGAGTTCTCAGATCATTTGTTAAATCAAAATTAGGGTCATTTCTTATCTCCATTGGAGTCTGAGGCGCATAGGCTGTGTTCACTTAGGGTGACTGCAGGTGGACTCTCAACTTTTGTACATCATTATGGCTTAATTGAAATCAGTAGCACTGTGAAAGTTCACACCAGCTGACCATCTGGAACACCCTGCAATACCTTTTATGGACTCCTGGGGTCCTCTGAACTCCAAGTGACGTTGTGCTGTACGTGAGAGTTTAGTAATTTAACACGCAAGAGAAAATCTAGTAAGCCACATTCTCCATCCCCTTTGCCCCTTGTGTAGCCATTTGCAGCAAGCAAAGTTACTACTGTGACTCGATATCACTTTTTTTTTTTTTTTTAACCCACTGTCACCTCCAGTTATTGACAACATAAGCGACAAAGTGTTGGAGAATCAGGCCCAGTACTTTTTATGAATCAAGTAAATGGTTGGTTTCCTTTGAATAATCAAGAAGTAAAATTAGCAGAGGGCTAATAAAGACATATTCTTTACTCTGCTCCTTTCAGTGCTCCAGGTGTCCTTCCCAGGGCAAGGGAGGAGACACCAAAATGTCATCTTTTGCGACTCTCTGCTATATGTCCTGAGGAGAGACTGGCCTCGCGAAGAGTCTGTGTGGGTTTTTTTGGTTCATGCATTTTGCTGCCATTAGGAAACTAGTATTGAATTCTGATGTGGTATTTCAGTTGGAAAAAGAAAATCCTGTTTTCAGAGTGGAAGAAGAGGGCTTGGATTATGACCATGCTGCTAAAATGATTTTAAAATATCAATGTCTCCTATCTGGAGTTAATCTTGAAGTTGTATCTCCACAGCTGGCCAGCTAGAATTTTGTAAATCCAAGGCCTACAGAAACATTTAAGAAACTTTCATCCTCAAATCTTTGCTGTTTGAAAGTACTTCAGCCACCCATCATCTTACCTGTAGGGAAACAGAATTGGGAACTCGCGTGTCTTAATGCTTAATTTTGGTTACTAACTTGCCAGTCTTGCTGAGCATAAATAGATGTCTCCTTTGTGTTGCTATAACAATTTTTACTCATTCACTTGTATACAGACGTGTGTATCATTTGTCACACCACAGGTGCCTAAATTCATGGCCCCTGACAGAAGGCAGCAATAGTTTCTGCTGCTTCCTTGTGGCAGATGTCTATTAGCTTTATGGCATGAGTGCAAGCATCCTGGAGCTGTCTGCACTCTCCAGCATCCCCAGGCAGTTGCTCTTAATGGCTTGAGGGACCTGATCCTATGCACCTGCTCAGGATCAAGCCCCAGGAACCCCTGACCAGCTTTCTTCACTTGGTAGAAACAGATGTGGCCTGACATCCATTTGTGTCCCCCATAAAAATGTTTATGGGGTACAAATGGTGAGCAAATGGATGTCCCTACCCTTTGTCATGCCACATGAGACAAATCAGTGGTGCAACAAAAGGTAGTAATAAATTCTGCTGCTTTATTGTGGTGGATGTCTGTTGGCTCTCTGCTTAGAGAGAGGTGCACTGAGGGAATCTCAGGCCATCCCTCTGTAAGTGGGGGGGAAGACAGGATTTCCCACTTAAACCCACCTCAGGATCTTGGGGGAATGTCTTCATAAGTGGGGAAGACCCATGCAGGTCCTAGCTTGGAGGCAAAGGACCTGGGGAATCCCAGGTGCCATATGCTTCCAGACTGGGACCCACTCACCCAGACCTGCCACTGGGGTTGCATCTAGGTAAGTGGGAAAGCTGGGCAGGTGCCTTAAAGGCTTGAGGAGCCTGATCCTGCCTGGGAATTCATGGGGTGAGCAGGACCAGGCCCCTTGAGCCCCACGAGAACATATTGCCCCTTGTCCCACACCTTCAATAGGCAGGACAAGGGATGACGCGTTTCGCCCAAATGAAGCAGATCAGTTGTGCCATGACACATCATGGCATGGCAGACCTGCTGCATTTGTCCATGTCTATTTCTAGCCTAAGGTCCTGGAGACCAGTGGGCAAGGCACCGGATAACATGTTTTGTCCAGTGAACTGCAGCAGAGATGATGGATGTACCAGGCGGGGGCGGCCTAGAGGTCACTGTGCTCTCACCAACACCCCTCACTGTGTCCAGTTTGCCTATAAGGCACCCTTCGTTCTCGCCTGACACATCTTGATCATAAATATTAAAGGGAGGCTGCCTCTCTTGTCTTCCTGGTCACAGTGCTCCTACCCTGCGTCTTTGCTTCTATAAAGGGGGTCCTGAGCACCCCAGCCTTATGGGCTATGCATGGCTCCAACCATCCCTGTACCATGCCACAACCCTCACAGATGTACCGGATGTTGTTTGGTCTGTCTCTCAGCACGCCCCCCACAGGTGCCCAGGCTCTCTGCAGCCCTCATCTCTCAGCATGCTACCCCTTTTGCTCTGGGCTTCTCACTGTCCCCATGCCCTGGGGCTTCTCACTGCCCCCTTTGCTCTGGGGGTTACCAAGTTCACACTGGGGCTGGGGTCCATGCACCCCCAGTGCTGTGTCTACTCTGGCACTGGGGTCCCACGCTACCATGGGTCCCCTATGAGGCCTCCTCCAACCCCGCTAGCCTCACCCAAACCACCGGTGTAAACCATCAACGCAAACGTTTTTAAGTCAGCTGGCCCGGATAATCTTCACCCTAGAGTCCTGAAGGAACTCGCTGGGGTCATTGCAAGTCCCCTGGCATGGCTTTATGAACACTCGTGGTGCTCTGGAGAGGTGCCG